GGTGGGGTCCTGAGGCCAGGTGCTCAAAACGACAGGTCATCAGTGGTCAAGCTAACACAAAACGCCCATGGGATCTGACTTTCTACAAGCCTAGTATAGAGGTGTACAGTGACAACTGTCTTTAAAAAACCCACTTTTAAGGAAATATTTACAAAAGGTTTATGTCCTATAAATATAGTTATACATCTCATTCATATATATTCAGTGTTTGACAGAAAAGGGATTTGACTGTATTAATCTATTTTCATAACCCACTGTGTGCCGTGCAAGTCAGACCTATACACACGAAGTTTGAACCGCATCTTATCTCACCAGCTCGAAGACAACAGGAAGGTCTTGCCAATTTGACTTTGACATGAACAAACTGTTGATTTACAAAAATAAAATTCCGCCTTCTTAAGAACGTCGCGCAGACAATGTTTTCACATGTCCCCCGTGCTAAATATCGTCCTTCTCCGAACATTGTTTTTTCAGCTTTGTATTTCTCTAGAGGGAAACTTTAATCAACTCAACCGAAAAGGACGCGTTATGAATAAGTCTGCACGTATGCACTGAACGCTTAAGAAATCCCACTTTGATCTTAAAAATATAAAAAAAAACGTTTTTAAGAGCAAGGGGGTGTTTTATTGCGGATTAACGGATATAACCAGACCGAAGTACGTGATCATTCGGCTTCTTCACTTCACTTTATGCGTTTATCACTCGGTTACTTTTGACAATCGACAAGCGTTATGTAACTAACGCGTCGTCCGGGTTGTTACTCCTAACAACATCCTAACGCAAAGTATCACGACTGGAGGGAACCGCCGCGAAATGAAGTCGTCACCTGCTTTAACGTCCCAGAGGTTCATCAGCTGGCTGTACCTCGGCTTCCATCCAGCGCAGAGACGAAGTGCACACACAGCTCGCACGACCGTCCCTCCCATCTGCGAGAGCGCTCGGTGAACCAGGGCTCGGCCGCAGTCACGCCTTCCGAAGGCGGGCTGACTGGCGCCGCAGCCACTGGGAGTAGCGAAGACCAGAGCAGGCACTTGGGTGTCAGTGCGGGGGAGCCAGCAACCTCGGAATAAGTAGGCGGTCAACAAAAATTAACAAAAATGGAAATGTATCGCTTTGGAAGTAGAAAGCGGTTGCTTTTTTTTTGTTACCAGTTCATGAGATAAAGAGGCGCACCCGGGGTTTTGCACATTTCATGCAGGAGAAAACCACAGTGTTGGCCAGGACGGCAGGGTTTTTAATAAGTACAGTAAATGCTCAAATTCGTGCTAAACATTGCACGGCTGAGGCTTATCGTGTGTGCTGCCTTTGGTGACCGCACCCAGATACAGCGGAAAATGGGGAAAAAAAAACGTTTTGGCTCCGGTTTGTCTTCACGTTACCGCCCTCCTTTTAAACAAAAAAAAAGAACTAAAATGCATAGGTTAACGTAAGACCTGTAGCGTACGGAATGTACAGTAAACTATGTAAAAGTATACGTGAAACATCTTAGCTGCTAGTTTCTTGCAGATAAAATCCCACAGGGATTCAGTCCAGTTTTCAGATAGAACTGCGGTGCGTATATTGTAGAAAATACTTGAACCCTATTGCTAAATAATTTGGACAGTCTGGAAGACATTTTCACGTCAAGATAGCGAAAAATGAAGAGGGAATCACGTATAAAATGTGGGGAAAAGTAGTATCAACAGCAGAGATCTGTGTATTTCCTAGTTGTGCAATGAACTGAGAATTGTGAAACTGTAAAATACTTATAGTGCAACACTTAAACACTACAATAAGCAATTGCAAAGAAGGGGACTGAATTATCCATCCTTTGGATATGGTTTGTGAAAAATGTTGAGGCTACTGCATAAAAGAAAAGTGATAGCAGGCCAGAGTAACAACATGTTGTCTTGACAACCCAAGTTGATGAAAGCAAATAACATCAGAAATGGGGAAGTCGCTGACCTTTGCTATTGTGCCTAATCATCCCATTAGGGCCCTGTCATGCCACTCTGCCCCCTCCTCTTCTTCCCCTGGAGGATCAGGGTATCCTAGTTTAATCCATGCATCCATTTTCTCACCTCTTAATCCAGTTCAGGGGGGCTGCGGTATACTTCCTGGACAGTCCGTCGCAGAGCAGGCACACACACACACACACTTCCTGGTTTAGGACCAACCCAAAATAATAATTATTAATAATAATTCCTTACACTTTCTATAGAGCTTTACAGGTAATGGGGACTCCCCTCCTCCACCACCAATGTGTAGGCCAGTACACGCAGCACACAGCTATGACTGGGGAGGAGAGCAGAGTGATGAAGCCAGTTCAGAGATGGGGATTATTAGGAGGCCATGAGGCGTAAAGGCCAGGGGGAAATTTGGCCAGGATACTGGCGTAACACCCCTACTCCTTTCGAGAAACGCCCTGGGATTTTTAATGACCACAGAGAGTCAGGACCTCAGTTCTACATCTCATCCGAAGGACGGCACCTTTTTCATGGGTGTCAACAGCTTTCCTCTTCGGGGAGGGCGCTGAAGGCAAGCAGGACAGAGTGCAGCTGTCACCAGGGGGGACGGGCCTACCCGAGCTGGGCCGGAGACGTGACCTGTGTTCAGACGAGATGTGCCCAGATGAGTCCCAGGGCTGGGTATCCACGACCCAGTGGGCCAGTCTGTGCCTGGAGGGGATGCAACCAGGGTTCCTGCCCGCACAAGTGACACAAAACCGGCCTACACGAACTGGAGCCAGGTTACAAGACGCCCAAAGCCTGCACTGGGCGTGACAAGTTTGGCGACGGGCCCACGCAGGGTGCCACAGGAAAGGAAAACCGGAACTGCCAGATGGCTGGACAGGGAGTGGCAAAGTGAGATTCAGGACCAACCACCTCAAGCTCGTCGACTTGGTGGGGAGAGAGGATGGCCGAGAAAAAAATCATCTCCGCGTCCTGGAAGTATGAAACTGTGGCATCCAGCGGTTTGGAGGGAAAGGGCATCAGGGCTCTCCAGGCCAAAGGAAGAGGAACCCAGCGTTGGCCCTCCAAAAGCAGCGCTACCAACCAGAAGAAACCCAGACGCGCCTGCAAAATCACACAACTCCAGCACCCCCCCTGTTCACCAAGAGGCCCAGGCTGACAGGAAGCGCAGAAGCAGATGCACGTGGGACTAATACTGATGCTAATGCTAATGCTAATGCTAATACTAATACAAATATCGATACCAATGGCAATACCAATACAAATACCAATACCAATACTAATATTAGTACTAATAAATATAATAAGTTATAATTAACTTTATTTTATATAGCACCTTTAAAAATAACTTCCCAAAGCACTTGTGTATTAGAAGGGCCAAATGCACTGTGCACCAATGCAAGGGGTCACTGAGTTTCCCAGCAGTAGGAGGAACTGATAAAAGTGGCCGGCTGTGGATCCCTGTATAGACAGGTTTGGTACAGCAGCATTAAAAAAACAAAGTTATTGGCCACAGATCAAGGGAAATTGGTTATTTTTACTCTTTTTTGTTTTTGCTCTAAGGCCCGTGTGTGCTGTATACACAGAATCTCGGGCCAGTCTTCCCAAGATGTAGTGCACACATGAGAAACAAATGTGAACGCCTCTTGAACCTGTGATGACTCCTGCCAGTCCATCACACAGCTCCTTGTAGAAGACATGCTGATCAAGAACCGATTGAAGAGATCACACACAGCAGTGCAAAGCTGTGCTCCACCAGTCCACCCCCGGACTCTGTGTCCCAGAATGTAATTTCAATTATTTTGTTCCTGTGTTTGAGATTTCGGAACAGTTGATGATGATTTTAGTCATCTTATGATATGATCATCTGTAAAACTTCAGCGTTCGGTCAGAATCCCAGGAAAATAATTTGTATAAATTATAATTAAAACCGTTAAAGTGGGAGCTGTCTCTAAATCGTCATTGTCTAGCGTGTGTGTATGACCTGCGACCTGCGTCCCGTCTGGGCTGTATTAGGCCTGTGTTAAAATATCTAATTTAAATTTAAAATTTAGCACTGAGAATAACATTACAAGAACTTGCTGAAACGATCGACTATCGAGTGAACTACAGATCCCACAGTGCCCCACGAATGATCCCATCAGCCACGGCCCTCCGGTGTTACCTTGGAATATTTTCCCCACCCTTTTTTCTCAAATGCCTCTGTTCCAGCGTTGCCTCATCTTTTGTCCCATTGGTTGAGAAATCTGTTCATAAAGCAGTCGGTTGGTAGACTCTGCCTGTGCTTTTCGGCAGACAGGGTTGCGACAAAACAGAACCTGCGTTGCAATTCACTAAAGTTCTTACGGCCAATATTGGCGCAACAGCCGCTACACGAGCCAGGACCAAGTTGAAAACATTGCGTAAGAGTTTAGAGGAGGGATCAGTCCTAGAACGGCAGTTGGGAGAAACAGATATTGAAGTACAAATTCCGAAGATGAAATTATAACATGCATTATTTTTTAGCGTGTGATTATCAGAGGCGTGCGTTGTACTGAGTGTGGGTCGGACTGCCGGTTTTTCTGGTGGATGCGCGAATTAATTGGAGGCTGTTTTTGATTCACTGCTGCAAATTCCAGGCCAGACAGGTAAGTAAAAGGTCCGTGTGCGGTATTTATACTCAGTGCCCGACAAAGAAACCGTGCTTCATGGCACTTAGGGACTGATCAAGAATTTACTGAAGCACGGGTATTTATGAGAACAGTAGGTTTTCATTTACAGCTGGCAAGTACAGTAAAAGGCAGCAGAGAGACAGTACGTCAAGTGAACAATACCACTGAGAAAGAAAGTGTACCCTGTACCAGAAACCTGTTCTCATACAGCATAGGAATGTGGAAACAGCTTCACCTGATATTTCTAGGAACTTTTCTAAAGGATGTGGTGTACGAGTGTTATTATGTTTCGTCTGTGGTAGGCTCCTAAATGGCCACTTTAGACCCGAATCCTGAAAGTGTACTAGACGGCGAACCAATGAAAAGAATCACAATTTACACCCATGATTATGTTGACCATATATGCAATAGCTGTATGTTTAATTTATTTCTTTATGTGCCGTTTCACGATAGCCAAATAAAAGGTTCGCGTGACGTGATATTTTGAAAAACAACGCAGTGTCGCAAATGAATGCGATATGTTGAAGAAATTATTTTATTAGGTGTTTATGAGGTTTGTTTACTTCCACCTTCAGACTAAGTTCGATTTTTTTTTTTAACGGGGTCATTGGTGAGACGTGCAGGTCTCTATTGACACAGACTACTGCGTGTGCAGTTTAAATGAACACAATGGTCAGTCAGTTTGGCCGTCCTGGTTTTGGCACGTCTGTAGCTTCAGCTGGCCCACCGAAATGATACATGATGAAAATCAAACGCAACTCTTTGGTGTTGCACAAAACAGCGCAGGTATTAAATAAAAGTCCGGAGCAATGAGTAGGTTTTTGTATATTTACCAAGTAGAGAGCAGTGCTGGGCGGTCGTGGTACTGGAAGGCCGGTATATTCGCAGGTTTTCATTCCTGAATCAGCTCGTCACTGTCTTCATTTGACCAGTTTAACACCTTCTCACAGCTCATCTGCTGCTGGTACTTTAAAGAGATCTACAAAACCTGAAAACACATAGGTCTGCTTTTTCTGCGGAGGTCATATTTTATGCAAAGTGTTTATTCAGAGGGTGGCATGGTGACGCAGGAGTTCTGCGCCCGCGTTCAATTCCTGGGGTGCTGTCTGTGTGGAGTTTGCATGTTCTCCTTGTATCCACCTGGATTTCCCCCAGGTGCTCAGGTTACCTCCCACAGGCTAACCTCCAGGAAAACCGGCCCTGCTGTGAGTGTGTGTGTCTGTCTGCCCTGTGATGGACTTGCCTCCTGTCCAGGGCGTACCCTGCCTTGCGCCTGTTTTCTTGCCAGGATAGACTTGGTCTCCCCCACGATCCTGTAATTCCCTGCCTGCTGTGCGTTTAGTTTTTGTTTTCTAGGTTTGTCATTTTCCGTAGCTGAAACAATCACACTTTGCAGATGTATCTGTTAAGGAGACGGCATGTGTACTCCGTCACTGGCAAAAACTTACACATTTCTGTCAGAAGCACCAAGAACAACAGTGCGAACCAAGGTTATGTTCATACTTTTGCTGGGTACAAGTTAAACTGGGAGGTCAGCATACATTTAATAATAGGTGCCTGTCCTAAATGATCAGCCTACCTGTGTAAGTGGTGTATAGATGATCAGCTGCACATTGTTGATTGTGTTCTGGTGTTGTCTCCTCAGACTGTGCTTTGTAGTTCTTACAGCAGCTGAATGCTTGAAGCAGCTGATTGTAGGGACGTGTGGAAGGGGAAGTAAATCTACGTTGCACCTCTGTGCCACACTTTACTCCCCAGCTAGTCCACAGATCCGGCCTTGAAGAGTTGTTCATGTGCTTCTGTACAGCTTTGTGTGTTTATCGGGACCAAAAGAAATCCGGACAGATTCTGCAACAAAGCAAATCACATGCTGTACTTTGAAACATATAACAGCTTTAAATCACAGAGGGCAAGGCTGTCAACATAAACATATGTGCAGGGTGCACTCCGCCGGTTTGTTCAGTAATATCAAATACGCGGTCAGGCAATGTGTCGAAATCAACCAAAGCAACAGACGCAGAACATTTCTGCTTCTGTCTGCTTGCACTGTATAGAAGACATCAGTTGAATACTGTAACCCTGTCCCGTCCTTTTTAATTTCATAGTAAAAACGGGCTTCAATGTCCTATACATCCACATTTCTTCTCAATCTAATCTCACTTTTCTTTTTCCTTTTTTCTCCCAGCTTGTTAAATGTCTTTGCTGCGGGGAAGCCTGCAAACACAGAGAGGCTGGGACTGCCCCAATGCACGCTGAATGCTGACCCAGTCTTTATCTTATGATTTGCTGTGAGGCTATGGCTACTGTCAATATCATCAATGACATCCTGCACAGACAGATCAGGGTAAGAGCCACACAGTTTGGCAGCTTTTCTCTGTGCATTCCTAGGACTGTGGGATCTGTTCCATGAGTAAGTTCACAGTGAGAAAGCTGAGACGTATTTTGTGTCTTTAGTTTTTGAATATTGAGATATTTCTTTTATACCATTTCAGAATCCTCAGTTAATTCTCTGACTCTCCACTGTCACCCTTGAGTCAGGTGGACATTAGTTAGGTGGTAGTAGTTCAGGTGGGTAGCTGCGTCAGCATGCGTAGGCTGCAAAGGAACAAGTAGTAGGTTTATTCCATGCTGAAAAAAAGAAGAAAGAGAACACAACGTTTTGGCCGTGGAGCCTTCTTCAGGTGTGAGAGAGACAGGGCAGTAGGCAAAGGTAAAGTAGCGGGAGAACAGTTAGGTGTACCTGTACTTTCTGCTGGAAAAGTGCTCACTCACTCACACACACCCAGAAAGCCACAAGGGGGAGCTGTGTGCCAAAAAACGTGGACACTCTGGTCACCTGTGGCCAAATGACCCTCATGCTGTTGTCCACTTGTGTGCCATCTCTAGGAAGAACCTGGCACCAGTCTTGTGACGAGCCCAGTACCCAGAGGCCAGGCTCACAATCATGTGCTTGACGGCTCTCCATATGAGTGCTTTGACATTTTGAGGCACTTTAGAGTTTCTGCTTTGCCTTTTTTGGTAGCTGTTAGTGTTAGTCTTGCTCTTAATTTGTTTTTACCTTGACATATTCCCAGGAGTTAACATTTTCACTGCCTTTTACAATCTACAGTGAAAGACAAATGAGGCTCAGTTCATTTAGCTTTACAGTCTTGTCAGGGAAGCAGTATCCTTTTTGTAATATTTTGAATAAAAATGAACCGGGGTCTTTTGATGGTGGTTTCTTAAGGTGTCATTCCCACTGATAGGATATTAGGAGTGCAGGTTTATGAATTTTCTCTGAAAGAAAATCAAGCTGTAGCTTTGGTTATTGTTTAAGAACTTAAACACAGTTACAAGCGAGAGGAGACCATTTGGCCTCTCTAGCCCTCCTGGTAATTAGGTGGTGACTGAGCCAAGGAACTCACCCTTCCTGTTCTCGAAAGAAACCAGAGTGTTGACCTGCTTGTTCCATACTCCCACAACCCTTTGCGTAAAGAAGCGCCTCCTTTGCCGACTTCAGATGAAAATCCTCAGAGTTCCCACTTTTGTCCTCGGGTTTGTGTTTCACTGCTGATTGTGAAGACGTCTGTAGGGTTGTCTTTGTCAGTGCCCTTGAGCATTTGAACACTAGGTGTGGGTTCCCGGATTTACCTCTCAGTAGTAATCATAGACATTTTGTCTCGGATTAACTGGATACCCTTTCCCTGAAGTAAATCCCAAAGGTGGGAGTAAATACTTTAGGCTGGCTTTGGTTTATGGCTATTTCATGTGGTGTCAAACAGAGCCGCATGCAGAACCGTGTAAGAAAAAAGTGTTGGCGCTCTTTGCCAAGTGTATTTTAGTCTACATTATGGCATCGGACTTCCGTTTCTGCTGCTGTGTCAGAGATGGGTGGTCGACCCTCGATATCTGGAGCAGCGACCAGTGAAGTAAGTGAAGCTCCAATGACAGGGGGTCTTGGTCTTGTCGTGGCAGGATAAGAGCGCATTGGGATTCCAGAGGCACTACCACGTCACTGATCCGTTGATCAAGAGGCTGGGCCTTGAGGCAGAGTTACAGGTATGGCTTGGCGTGACTGCTGCACACATCACACCGCACACCGGATTGCCTTAGGTTTGACTTGCGGGCTGCCAGCTTTAGACACAGAGCACGCCCGTGTACTTTGTGTCGTGAAGCTGCATTTAAAAAAAAATGAAATCATACTCGTCTCTCGATGGCGAAACAAGGTCAGATCTGTTGTATTTTTGCCGTGTTTGTGTTGAAGAGAAAAAGACCACTTTAGTCTCAGAGTGTGAGGAGGCCATCACAGCACGCTCCTTGTTTGCTGGAATAAATGCATGGTGTCTGGAAACAAAGCAGTCTGAAGAGACCAGAAATAAGCAGGATGGGTTGCTAAGGAGGGAACAAAGCTGTCAATTTAAAGTGTGACTAAGAGCATGTCTTTGAAAATATGAACATGAGCCCATCCCCGTCACATTAAATCATGTAGTCATTATATTAATATACTTCAAGTAGGTAGCTGCGTCGGTATGCGTAGGCTGCTAAGGAACAAGTTACAGGTTTATTCCATGCTATAAAGAGGAGAAAGAAAACAGCGTTTCAGCTGTGGAGAAGGCACCCGAAGAAGGCCCCACAGCTGAAACACTGTGTCCTTTCTTCTCTTTTCAGCAGGGAATAAACCTCTAACTTGTTCCATTATCTTAATATGATTAAGTATTAAGGGTGGTAATTTGTGTTGTAGTTGAATTTTAGGAAGGAGTGACGATGCTTTATTGTGTTCGAGTTCCAAATCCACAAACATAATTGCCTTCGGACTGAGAGACCCTGTACAAAATCAAAATCCCTTAATTTGATATATAACAGCAGCACAGAGCAGTATGCTGCCAGTTATCTTAATCAAGGAATTTTGGTCCCAGACACAAGACACAACTAATTACTGAGAAACTTAATCTGGGGGTGAAATGTTTTCCAGGGTACCTAAGGAACATCAAACATTACTCAGGCTTCCTGGTTCCTGGTCCCTAGAAGGGGAGAAAATTATAGCACCTAGTCAGCGTGTCCAAGACAGTCTTGGTTGTGCAATGCTGATGGTATACCACAAGGTGGCGATGTAATACACATCCTTAAATTCTACACAATGTTTCATTTAAAGAGTTAATTTGCCAAGCCCCTTACAATGCCCTTTGGCACGTTGGAAAGATGAGTCATATCTGACAGATTGAACAGATTTAATATCGTGTCATGTAGATTATTTTTCCAATTAGTGGTGCCTGCCTGAAGAACTTTCAAGACTAATTGCAAGCTCCTTTCTTTTCATGGCTCTTTTCGTACAGCATTCCTGTAAATTGTTTTTAGCTCTCACAGGTGATCCTGTTTCTCAGTGTGGCTGAGGCAGTCGCATCGTTTCTGTTTTCTTGTTCATTCGTAGTTTGTGTGGCTAGAGGTTTCAAGCTGTCACAAAGTCACAATACTCCGGTGAATCATGGCAGGCAGTGGTGAAGGTAGAGGAATAATAATCTCTTTAATCTATGTATTGGTTTTCATTCCTAAAGGTCCCAGAGCACTCTACACAATGAGAAGCCCCATTACACAGAAAAGTGGGTGGAAACGTGAGCTGTGCATCTCCTGAATTAAGAGGGAACTTTAGGGAGGCTAGGTTGCTGAAGCTCGGAGTGGAATTTATGCGGGACACTTTTTTTTTTGTGTTGTGTTTCAGGGCCACTCAGGCTGTGTGAACTGCCTGGAATGGAACGAAAAAGGAGAGTAAGTATTAGTGTTTAAACCCCACCCACTACTGCCACACTGCTGTTGGACGGGGTCTTGCACTTTCACCTGAAGCTGACTTGACAGCCAGAGGGCCTGGAAAGAGCCTGTCTAGGGGGGTGTGGGACAGTCCAGACCCCAGAGCTGTGGTGTGCCTGCAAAGACCGAGGGCGCCCTTAGGGATGGGGACAGCATAGTTACGAAGTGAGCCGGTCAGCAGTACACCTCCCTCAGACCCAGAAGCGTGGAGTCGCACAGTGGAACCACAAGAAAGAGCTGGGCAGGTTTAAGCTCCGGTGCTGTTTTTAAGGTTATTTCATACACAAAGCTCTTTTCATACTCCCCTCTTCTTCCATCTTAAAATGAGCTTTTATATCAGAGCTCTGCTTTGTTGTTAATTTTATTGTCTTTGCGATTAATGGAACACCAAGACAACACCGGAGGAGACCAGGAGCCTGGTTTCTTTTAGAGGGGGGCACATTCGGAAAACTCTTCCACTTCACATACATGTTCAGTGTACAGAACATTCCGGCAAAGGTTTGGTAATTATTGAGATAGGGAAGCAGGATCTGTGCTTGTGCTAACATTTAAATTAAGATGTTTTTTTTTGTTCTATGTAATAATCATTAGGGCCCTACTTAATTACTCAAAATTGTGAATCTCACAAAATTACGCTTCTACCACAATTTTAGCAGTGTGTCAGTACAGCATTATAAACTACAGAGCTGCAGCAAGAAACAGAGTCTTAAGACTTGTCAGCTGCTAAGAATTTTCAGAGTAGGCTGGTTGTTTTTTCCTGACTTCTCTCTATAGTAAAGCTCATATCCATGTCTCCTAACTGGTTTATCCAGGTCGTACTTTATGCCTGACTGCTCCCAACCTCTGTTCCAGTGGTTTTATTTTTGTGCAGCATCCAGTTAGATCTGTTCTCTGAAAACTAAAATCCCTAGAAGATAAGGTTTTAGTGAGGCAAAAATAGCCACACTCCCCTGTCTCTTTTGTGCAGAGTCATGGTTAAACTACACAAGTAAGATGGGTGTTGATGTTTTAGACTGAAGGGATATTGCCAAAAAGGAAGTGGACGCTGATCTGGTATTTAAAGGAAAGCAGCTGTTGGCAGTTGTGCAGTCGTAAGTTCATAAGTTGTGAAATACTGCTCATTGAAGTGCAGAAACAGCACTGAGGAAACTATAAATGAGTTATATATATATATCTGCAGAGAAAAACAATCTATAAAAAAATTCCAAGCACAAGCCTAACAAATATTTGAGTTTTTGCTTTGTTCTCATTTGCGAGGATCCTTAGTTGTTTCAAAACGCTTCGTTTTTATTTTCTTGTGTTTAACAATAATACAATTTGACTTTGTAAATTCAGCTATTCAAGAGGTATAATTACTTCTCTTCCATTCTTTTTGCTTTGCCTTCAGCTGAGCTGCCCGTTCTCACGTTTTAATCCATTTTGAGTTGGGGGGGGAAAAACATGTCAGAGAAAGGCTGTCATGTATTTGTTTCTCACAACCCCCCAAGCTCTGTTCTTACCCTGAAATGGGAGGAGGGGCTCTCCTTGCTCAGTGCCGTCCAAACCGGGTCGGGCCCGAGCCCTGTGACCCAGACGGGCTGCTGGCTCTGGGTCCGGAGCTCGGCATGTCCTCCCCCTCAGGCCTGCTCCACCTCCGGTTTGTGCTCTTCCAGGTTGTTGGCGTCTGGCTCCGACGACCAGCATGCCATTGTGTGGGATCCCTTCCACCACAAGAAGCTTCTAACTATGCACACCGGTCACTCGGCTAACATCTTCTCCGTCAAGGTAACCGCGACTGTTGGAATCGCCTCCGGTTTGAGTCCTCTGTCGTGTTTCCAGAGCAGCCCCATTCCCATAAGGGAAGGCTACAGCAGGTTACCTCATGAACTACTGACGCTCTTTGTTCTTGTCATTCTTAATGTGCCAGAGGTGGAAAGCTGCCCTGTTTTTTCTCAAGTGAACAGCAGTTATCTCTGTTTTTTTTTTTTTTTAATCGGATCTTGTTGGGTGTATGCTAAATAATACTTGCATCTTCATTGATTACTTTACAGCAATGGTTCCCAGTCCTGGTCCTGGTGACCCACACACACCTGTTGGTTTTTGTTCCAGCTGGGCCATCAGTTACACAATCAAACCCTTCATTGACTTAATAATAAGATTCACTTGAACTGTGTCCTCCCAGCTCTTCCAAATGGTAGAGCTGTAACTGTTGTATTTTGTAAGTGAAATAAAGTCCCAAATGTGTGACTAGAAACAAAATGCAAAAATTCGATTCGAGGTATCTCTTAGATCAATTAAGGCTTCGGGGATCTAAATAGGGTGAGATGGAAAGAAAGCCAGCAGGTGTGTCTCACCGGGACCTGGAACCACTACATTATGGCATTCTAACGAAACCAGAAGTGGAGTGACTTCTAAAAATGCCCCTTTAAACCAAATGAGAGGGCGTTACAGGAAGTACAGTGTTTCTGTAGTATCCCAGAGTGCCTTGCCTCCCTTTGAGAGTAATGCCATTGGCATGTTTTTCCAATCTCTAGTCTTCTAGAGCTGTTGACCAGTTTTAAAGTGGTCTTAAAAACCACATGAGAAAATAGTCTGTATTTCATTAATGAAAATTGAGCTAATGAAAGGGAATAGTTTTTGTTCGTGCCTTGGCTAATCGCAACACCTGGCCTTTGCCCCCCTCTCGCGAAACGGCCAGTTCCTGCCTCACTCGGGGGATCGGATCCTGGTGACCGGGGCGGCCGACTCCAAGGTCCACGTCCACGACCTGACGGTGAAGGAGACCATCCACATGTTCGCCGACCACACCAACCGGGTCAAGAGGATCGCCACCGCCCCCATGTGGCCCAACACCTTCTGGAGCGCCGCTGAGGACGGGGTCATCAGGTGAGACGCCGAGCTTGGAGACCTCAATGGCGTCTTCGTCATCGGGGGGCTTCCAATTAGTAGTCCGTTCTCCTGCCAGTTTTAGGGGTTTGATACACCGTGCTCTCTCATTGTTTCAAGGGCTGATAATTCATGCCAAGCAACTGTACTGGGTTTGGAAAGCCTGGTATTTCCTCTGAGCCTCTGAGCTCAGGAAGGGCCCGTTGTTGGCCCGGTGGCTGTACTTGATCCAGGTCATGAAAGTTTGAAAGCAGTATCTTAAAAACATACATGACATTTAACACTGTAATGGGGTGGGTAAGGTGGGGAGGAAGATGTGGGTTAATTGAGAATCAGGAATGATAGTTCCTGGAAAAACAGCAAAAAAACACACGTTTCCTGCAGTATTAGGCCAGTGCGATTGGACGTTGTCCTCCAAACAAATGTGATCCGTGTTGTTTCCTGTCCGGTGTGCAGTGGGTTCAAATACTGGGCTCCACCACTTACCCGCTAGAACACCAGAAGATCTGTAAAGGAAGTCCAGGCTCATGTTCCATTCTTCCCTGGTTGAAGGACCTATTCTGACCATCTGTCCAGCCATAGTCCCGCTGCGGTTCTGTTGTGAGCACTCTCATGCCTCAGCTCGACCAAGGACACACTTGTTCCCGTTATTAAATCTTAGCGGTGACCCCCCCTCATCTCCCTCCCCACCGGTTAGCGGTGGGGAGGGAGATGAGGGTTTGCAGAAGATGAGGGAGATGAGGGTTTGCAGAACCGTCATCTCCCTCCCCAGCCATGAGACGGGTTCAGAGTGGCACGTCTTCAGTGGTTCTGTAGAATGGGGTCTGTCTCGGTCCTGTGTTGTGTCCTGACGGCCTGTGTCCGTTCCCCTGTGTTGGCACAGGCAGTATGACCTGAGGGAGAGCAGCAAGCACTCGGAGGTGCTCATCGACTTGACGGAGTACTGCGGCCAGCTGGTGGAGGCCAAGTGCCTGGCTGTCAACCCTCGGGACAACAACTACCTGGCTGTGGGAGCCAACGGCCCCTTTGTTCGCCTCTATGACATCCGGATGATCCATGACCACAGGTTCGCCTGCACCTCGCCTCCTGCTGCCCGCACAGGCTAAAGCTCTTATCGCACAGGCCGCAGGCCACAGTCATGGGCACCGCCTCTCCTTCTTTGCTTTGCTTGTTCGGAATATTTACTCAGCCCTGCTTTAAAGTAATTGCATTTTAAATCTGTACAGGACTGCAGTTTTGTGTTGTAACAATGTGCACACTCCCCTGTTCCTGGAAGAGTGTCTTGGTGTACGCTTGTTTTCTGAAAGGGAGCTGAAGATCCTTTAGTAGGCTTTCAGTACGACAGGCCACCAGTTTGCACTGAGAACAGAGCCCTGTGTAGGCGGCATAAACCAGCTGTGAAATGGGAGTGCTTTGTTTTTCAGGAAGTCAATGAGTCAGAGCACATCAGCAGGAGTGCACACCTTCTGTGAGAGACAGAAGCCGATCCCTGATGGAGCTGGCCAATATTATGTAGCAGGTCAGTTAAACACTGTTACCATCTGAAGATGAGTCAGCGCAGGGGTGTTTTACATCACGGGCTAATAATGATTAAAGATGGGTTGTTTTAAGATTGTTAATTATGGAGTCACCAGCATTTCACACAAAGCAATGTCAGATCAGTTGATCTCACAGCACTATCCTGTCCTTAAGAGATTCTAATGCAAAAGAAGAAGTGCTATAAAAGAAAAACATAGTGCTCAAAGCTTAAATGCATGTTATATACATCTATTAAAGTCTAAGAATATCACGTTTTGGGCTTTGAGTTCTTTGATAATGCTCGCTTTGCGTTAGCACAAGCAGAAGCTTTGGTTAGATTGATTCTGCAAAAGCTGAATCAGGTCAGGTTATTTAAGCTGTCTCCTTAGGTCTTTCCATGCAGCACAGTTCCTGCCGCTGATAAAAAATAGAGGGGCACTAGGGGGCATTCTTTCTAATGCGATGCCTCAGTCCTGCATCACGCAGCAGTGCCAAATGAGGAACATTTTACATTTTTTGGTTCAAGCTGAAAAGGCACTTGTTCCTTCTCGATATTTTAGATCCTGCACAGACTTCAGCATCAAGACACTACTCCCACATAACAGATTGTGCTAACTTGCAGGATACTTTGTGGGAAGCTGTACTGCTCAGGATTGTTGAGTCTCTTATTGAAGCATGCAGCAACACTGAATTAAACCCCTCGCTTGTCTTATTTCAGGTCATCTCCCAGTGAAACTACCTGATTACAACAACAGGCTAAGAGTCCTGGTAGCAACATACGTGACCTTTAGCCCTGATGGCACTGAGCTGCTGGTCAACATGGGAGGGGAGCAGGTAAGAAGGCACCACCCAGGGCTTGTAACCAGCTCTTCTCTTGCACGGGCTCCTTAGATTTTGGCGGTGCACCCAGCAGTCTCAAAGCAAGTACGGGGTTTATCAGCAATGCTGTAGTTTCATTTATTTATTTTTAACTTTGGGCTTGCAAGGTGATGGAGTTTGATTAAGCGATTCCTCCTTGCCACTCTGCTGTGCCCACCGTACCAGCCTGGGGCAGTCGGTGACCTTGCACGCCTTCGCTGCGGAATTGTTCTCCCGCCTCCCGTTTCTCATTCCACGAGTCCTGCTGTGCCCAGAGGAGACTTCCCTTCACCTGGCAGAGCTCTGTCAGTCTGGCTGGTGGTGACGCAGGCTGGCACCCCAGGCGGGGCGCTCACACAGCAGGCTGATGACACTCTGTCCAACAGGAGATGGCTGGAGGCCAGTTACCTGCCTAAGTTGACGCCCGCTCGCAGTGTAGCACGGGGTGGGGATTTGTTAATGACCTCCCGACATTGGACTTAAACCAGTAGCACATTCATCGGATTGTTACATAAAGCTTAATTCCCGTCCTCCGCTTTAGGCTCTGTTACAGTGGCTCCAGTGAGTGCTGAAAGCTCTGCACATCATGTCAGGAATGATTCTCATTTAATATGTTGTATCTTTTCACCTGCAGGAAGCAGCACCTGTAGTCCACTGCTGCCGTGTCCCAGCACTCTCCAGTGCAGGGTGTTGGAAGGGGTTGCAGTGATTTCGGCAACATTTGCATTAGTTAGAGTGCAGTCAAACTCAAAAGGCTGTACCCAGCTAATTTGAGGGAGTCCAAAATTCATACAGAAAAAAGGTCCAACTTAATACAAAGAAGCCTTATCTCATATTCAGAGATAAAGCCAACGCATGAGGCCATAAACCTTGTATGTGCTCTTTTTGTTAACGTTGTGTTTCGTTTCCTTTCTAGGTGTATTTGTTTGACTTGACTTTTAAGCAGAGGCCATACACCTTCCTGTTGCCAAAAAAGTGCCACTCGTCCGGAGGTCAGTGTTTTATTTCTTCTTATTTTAACGAACTTCACACCAGCAGGAGGATGCTCTGCCATGGAGGTCATGAAGTGCGTCTTGTGGCACACACAGAAGCCCGCCTCTAGAATGAACAGTGCTCTGCGGAGACAGACTCAGGGAGCTGTTCCCCTGTATCCCAAGAACCATGCTGTCCGTCGGGCTCTCGTATGCTAACTGCACTCCTCCTCATTGGGAGGCTAGAGAAGCGGAGTGTTTTTTCAACACATTGTCACAGGCTACAGAGCTGCCAGGGTTTCCCAAGGGGGGGTTCATGAGTGTCTCGGGCAAGGAAATGCCTCTTTGCAAGAACCCGCCCGGCGGCACCCCAGTTTCCGCGAGGCTCGGGCACCGTCGTGTCGAGAGTGCGAGGGCCTCCATGCGTCTGTCTCGTTGTTCCCTGCAGAGGTCCAGAACGGAAAGACCTCCACCAACGGGGTCTCCAATGGGGTTCACCTGCCCAGCAGTTGCTTCCGCCTGGCCGAGAGCAAGATCTGTACCAGGTAAGGACTCTCTCCGCGCGCCTGAATCCCATGGAGGTGCAGGGCGTACTCTTAAACATAAGGCCCGGGGTTACACTGCAGTATACAGCTGTCAAAAACTCAGTGTTGCGGTTAAAGGAAGAAAAATCGCAGGAAAGTAATTAGCCCTCTTTGGAGTTTTTTGCAGAGTTGTGGCTAAGTCAGTTATTTCTTATTCAACATCAATGAAAATGAGCCGAAATGAGAATGTACCATGTAACGTTCCATTGCGTTACCCAAGTGCTTAATGTGACTGTGCGTTCTGTTAGCAGAACACCACCAGTTTTTCTGGTTCGGACTATGTTCAGTTATTTTTGTACTTGAATGCACGGTGTTTATTACTGCATTTCACAGTGGTTTGTCTTTTCACAACTCTCCGCGTTTTCAAACACGGCGTTTCAGGAAAGGTGATTTGGGGAGTAACTTCATCCGCTTGGCTGCAGTGCCTTTTGGTGGCGTTTTGATTTTATGTATTTAATTTTATTTTTTATGGAAGGAAGACAGGAAAACCAACCAGGCTGCTCGGCAAATCTGCGCAGCTTGTAGTGTTATAAAATGACAGGTTTCAAAGCTGCAGGTTCTGTAACAAGCAGAGGAGCCTCTTGTGAAGCTCTGTGTTTTGTAAAGCTGTATTGGTACACCACTAGAAACTGCAATAGAAATCTAACGTTGCAGAATCTGCACTTTCTGTACTATTGCTTATTATGCTGAGCCGTATTTGAAAATATGTAAACTACAGTACACTATAATGAAAAATAGGGTGATGACAAATATCATTCTCTTTGACATCATGGATTCCTGGAAAAATCCAGGAAGAACTGGAACATTTCAGCCTGGTTCGTTGCTGTGATGCTCTGTTTTCTGTGCTGAGACGGGCAGCCCACCCTGTGTGTGTGCTCTCGGCCGCGTGGCGCGGTCTCAGCGCTGTGCGTTGCGTTTTCTTCTTGCAGCTTGTCGGGGGAGCTGCCCCCCCGGCTGGAGAGGATCAAGCAGCAGGCCAACGACGCCTTCGCGCGGCAGCAGTGGACCCAGGCCATCCAGCTCTACAGCCGAGGCATCCAGGAGGCCAGCAGGAACGCCATGCTCTATGGCAACAGGGCTGCTGCCTACATGAAACGCAAGTGGTGAGTCGGGAGGCGAGGCCGAGACTGGAGAC